ACATATCAAATCGTTCTGAAATTTATAAGTGATGTATAAGAAGAAATATTTGAAATTTTCTGTCTAATAAATATTCACATGTTTACCACACTCACACAAGGGTAGACAATTTCCTGAATAATACCCACTTACATAATATATTGGGTGCAACTTGCCTGAGGTTAAAAATTGATAGCAGAATGAACCATACCACAGTAATTCTTCAAAGCAGAATACCATTATTATATTTAAATAATATTCTGAGGATCAAAAGACTTTGTACAGGAAAACAAGGAACCACAGTTAGTGCCACATAGCTCTCTAAAAGTAAGGTCATTGAAGGACCTAGTTTTTAGGGCATCTACAAACTCTCCACAGCTGGGTTATTGTCTGAATCACAGAAGAGCACCAAATGTGTTCTCAAGAGGATGCTGTTTCAGCCTTCATGTTTCAGGATAGTCAAACTCTGCCTCTTTGAGGGTTCTCCACACATGCTGGGCAGCAGCATTGTCAACAGGCTGTCCAGTCTGTGATGAAGGGGGTTGCTTAGAGGTAGGTCTGCTATCCTTAAGAAAGACTCAGTTCTTTATCCTCATATTGCCTTAGTTCAGTGACATATATGGAAACTGTTATAATTAAGTGGTCAATGCAATGTTTTCTCTAGGTCAATACATGTTCCACTGTTGAAACAATCAAAGATGCTGTCAAACTCTTCAACAAATGCAGCTGTTGCCGGGTATTTGCTGCAGCACCTTCCCAAAAGAAAGTTAAAATGGCTCTAAAACAATACTTAAAACACACACTCATTCTTCTCTGTTGATGACTACTTCATCATCTGAAAAGTGACTCATCCATTTAAAGGTTGTGTAAATAGCATAATTTGACATTATTGATGTATATATGTGTGGATATATTTTTGAATAACCTCCTGTGTAACCACCATGTTTTCTTTGGTTTCCTTGTGTGAAAACTTCAGTTGTACTGCACGCATGTTTCTATATTTACATGACATATTCCATGTCATACAGTCATTTTGACTAACTTTGGATCCAGGAAATGCAATGCAATGTAAAAAAAAAAAGTAAAGCTATCCTTGTACCAGGCCATGAAGTCCCATAGGGTTGTGAGATGTTGAGGGTCCCACACTATCTAGACAATCGGCTCAAATATGGCGGTAAGGCTGTCAGCCTTACATGCCGGCCGCGCTTTACTCCCCAGGAAAATTATTTAATTAATTCCTGGTACTCATTTCTGTTAGAGGCTGAGCCAACCCCAGGGCCATAGTGCAGCTGGAAGGATTAGGTCAATTGAAGAAAATCCAATGACCTCATCGGGACTTGAACCCGCAACCTTCCGGCTTGTAGCATAGTGCCTCAACCAACTATGCTACCGCATGCCCCAGTGTAATGTAAAGTAATTAATTTATCTTCTACTGTTTTTACCTTTAAATTCCTTCCAATGTTTTTTATTTCTTAGTCCTTCTTTTCCAGTTTTTCCTTTCATACTTAAAAATCTAATTATCAGCTGGTGATAGTATACTGGAATCTGCCAAGGACAGAACTACTGTTTACTTAATATAATTACTGAATAATATGGATCTTGTATTTAGAATATATAAAACTATAATTTTGCCTGTAGTTCTGTATGGGTGTGGAACTTTGTGTCTGGCATTAAGGGAGGAACATAGGCTGAGGGTGTTTGAGTACAGGGTGCTGAGGAGAATATTTGGATTGAGGAGAGATGAAGTGACGGGAGATTGGAAAACACTACATAGTGAGGAGCTACATAACTTGTACTCTTTGCCAAGCATAATTAGAATGTTCAAATCAAGGAGTATGAGATGGGCAGGGCATGTATCATGAATGGGGAAATGAGGAATGCATAAAGGATATTGGTGGGAAAGCCAAAGGGAAAGAGACCACTAGGAAGACCAAGATGTAGGTGGGTGGACAATATTAAAATGGATCTTAGAGAGACAGGATGGGGTGGTTTGGACTGGATTGATCTGGCTTAGGACAGGGACCAGTGGAGGGCTCTTGTGAGCACGGTAATGAACCTTCAGGTTCCATATAATGCTAAGGAGTTCTTGAGTAGCTGCAGAATTGGTGGCTTCTCAAGAGGGGCTCAGCTCATTGAGTGAGTGAATTTGTGATGGATCTTATATATTGTGTTATTTTCTTGTTTATAGACATTTCATCAGGAACATACTCAGACCTGTTCCAGTCACTATGCAAGATCAATCAAGTTGCCAGAGCATCTGTACTTATATTTTAATAAGTAACTTGTCACTTAGATAACCATGAAATACGATGTATAATACTAATTTT